GTTATGTCGAGCGCGAGCGAGCATGATGCGCGTGTCTGCCTTGCTAATTTAACAAAGGTTGAGGCGGAGCTGTGCAAACCAGTCTGAAACTGCCGAATATTTGCATTCTGAAATACTCTCTGTAAACACTCGGTACACCAATCCTTCTCTGAAAGTACCAGTCGGAAATCGCTGGCTCGCTGAAACACTCAGCAACCCAAAAAACATGGCCTCTTTTCCCGTCCAGCTACCCAACATGGCCTCCTCTTCCTGTGGTCTGCTCACGCTCTTTCCAGACCTGAACGAGTCGCACAAAGAGAAATAAATGGTGCGGTGGCCAGTGAACTCGAATCAACACCTCTGGTTTTGCTCCGTTGAACTTTCCGATGCGGTCTGTGGAGCAAAAAATGGCGGTTGCAAACTGATATTGAGGCCAATCAGTATACTTTTGAAGTCATGTGTGGAGACCATGACGGCGGTCACAAACTTGTCGCGCACCTGCTTCAGAGTAGGACAAATGAGGTGCAACAGTTAAACGCCCAACTGGCTCTGCTCCAACGCATGTATAAGGATATGCCGCGAAGCAAGAGATAGTGTGCTAAAGGCGGAAAAATAAGGAGCCTGAAGCGGAAGCCACCGTGATGTTCCGATTTGGAGGTCCACCGTATGCTGTAGTGGAGGAGCAGGGAAGAGGCAACTTGCTTGGTGGTCTAGGAAGACGGATGCAACACCGTCAAGGGCCGCGCAGGACGGAGGCAAGAAGAAGAGACCGGAGGCAGAGTAGATAGAAAAATCCCGCCTGTGGATGTGTTGTTTGTTTTGTTGTTGTTGTTGTTGTTTTTTTTTTTTTTATTTTTTTTTTATTTTTTTTTAATATAATATAATAAAAAGAGATATATATATATAAAAATAAAAAAAGTGGGGAACAACATGATGTCTTCAGGGATCGTGTTGAATGATGGTGTGCATTGGGTGACCTTTCACAGTGGGTGGGTCACATGGGAGAGAGAAAAACAACACACATATGCATGTGCTCTCTCTTGCCAGGATGGGTTCTCTCTTTGGTGGAAGGAGGAGATCAATAAAAAATAATCAAGATGAGGAGAAGGCACGGATCAGTGGCTAAGAGGGATACGCACACAAGGGGACTTGGGAGAGAGAGTCCTTCGTGAAGATGCTGCTGCTGCCAGTAACAAAAGACCACGCTCATCATGGAAACAAGTACCCGAAGAAGGTGATGCGCAAGGATTCGGCCAAGAAAACCTCCTCGGTGGTAGTCGTCTGAGTCATTATGTTCTTTCGGTATGACCTAACTGGTGGCCAACCAACAACCTGTGCCTTGGCAGGTGGCTTTGCAGGGTCTTGCTTCTCATTGGATGGGGTGTTCATCTTCTCCTTCAGATCCACAGCTGATTCCATTCTATCATGGTCACTGTAAAAATTACCACAATCTGTGTTCTGCACAAAATGGGGTCTGTTAGGGTATGAAGGGGGTTGGGCTTCCCTCAGTGTCTGCATTTGCTGATCTGCTTGAACGTAAGAAAACTGATTTGATGGTGCTGGTTGGGGTGGCGGTCGCAGATGATAAGCCTTATTACTGAATGTGGCACCATCTGTCTGTTGAGCACTACTAACAGGTTGAATTGGTGGATGGGAACAAGAGCCAGAAGAATCAGGAATCTGTGTTTGCATCTGAAGATCTCTGCAATCACGAGCCTGATAACAGATTGCATCAGACCTTATCGAGTTGATTCTTGGTGCAGCAGGCTGCTGGGACTGAACCATAGACTGATGTAAGTTTGCTCTGATATTATGTGTACCCATGTAGAGCTTTGAATCGAGGCCATTCGGCATAGGATCTGGTATGGGAGGCAGTGGAGGTGGAGGTGTTGAAAAACTCCAGCGGGCAGCGAAGGATCTGGTATGGGAGGCAGTGGAGGTGGAGGTGTTGAGAAACTCCAGCGGGCAGCGAAGGCATGGTTGCCGGCCGGCTGCCCGCCGGAAAGAAAGGAATATAGGCCTAAATCTTATAGCTCTGATACCATGTAGAAATTTAATGTATAAAGAGAAATAATTGTATTATTGATTGTTGTATGTTATTTATTACAAATGGTGAGGGGCTCCTTATATAGGAGATGTAGTGGAGTAGGTGGTGGTAAGTGTAGTAGGTGGAGTAGGTGATGGTAGGTTTTAACAATGGTAGGTTTTAACAGACATCATATACAAAGTGTTTCACCTTTTGCACAGCACAATGCAAGGTTTAGAGGTCTCTTGTTGCATGTAGTATGGCTGGTTCTATCTTTGGAGCTTCTTTTCTGATGTGTTCATACTGATTGATATAGATGAAAAACCAACACTGGCTTGTCATGTCATGGAACCTTTACCCCAAAATCTGATCTTTTAAGCTTTACCTTTCCTGACATGCTTGACAATTTTAGAGCTTACATAAGGCCTTTTAGCATTACACACACATGCTTGCGGACCATGTTTTTCAGACAGTACCACCTCATTGTCCTCTTTGGCTTGGTATTAGCTTGGACAAATAGGCCCTTCCAAGGTTTATTGTCTGGATCAGATTCCTATCCCTCCCTTGCTTACACAGTCCATGGCTGTTTATAAAGATGGATGCACAATTTATATATATATATATATAAAATCTCATCACTCCTGTTCATGATTTGAATTCTGCCAACCATTGTGCCAGCTGCTGGGTTGGCCCACTGTTCTAAAATATCGAGCTGGTCAATATTCTAGCCTGGAACTTGAGCTGGGGATTTTATCCAGGTTCTTGGATTTAATGTAGTGATCCATTGCGGTCATCATTCAGTTTGATGATTTTTGTGATTTCTATTGCTATTAATTAGGGGTGGGCGCGGGTCGGTTGCGGCCATAGAACCTCCAATCCGCCATCCGTCTGCCAAATTGGCGGATTGAAGAAAATCAATCCGCATCAGTCCGCCAATCCGGCGGATGTGGATTGAGCGGATTGGCGGGGCAATTTGGCGGATGGATACGAATCGGTTTGGCGGTTTAAAATTTTATAAAATTTCAACATAGGTCAACTTGTGCACTTCAAAAAAAAAAAAAAAGTATTACAGTCAATGACTTAAAAAAGTATTACAATTACTGCATGCCTTATCCAAAGAAAGAAAGTTTGAAACTTCAGAATATCAAAATCACTGCATGCCTCATCCACATATTACAATCACAACATGCCTTATCCACATAAAGTATTACAATATGCGATTCTTAAAATATAAAAACAATTCAAACCACCAAAACCATGAACATAGCAGTAATAGAGATTGTATGTCTCTGTATTGTTACATTTATATATATTTTTGAAAACAAAAACCAACCAGCATATATCATATTTTCTATTTATTACTTTTAGAGTTAGATTTAAAAATCAAAAAATATAAATAAATAATACGTTTATTTTTTTCAATTCAAAAAATATATTCAAGTTGAAAACTTTTTTTCAACTGAATATTTAAACTGTTTTTCAATTGAAAACACAAACAAAATATTTAAATAAATTGAAAACACAAAGTCTTATAAATTATTAAGGGTACTCGCGGTTTGGCGGTTCGGTTGCGGCCAAAGAGACCTCAAATCTTCCATCCATCCGCCAAATTGGCGGATTGGAGAAAATCAATCCGCAACCGTCCGCTCATCATCATGCATCCGTCCAAAATGCGGCGGATCGGTTCGGTTCGGTCGGTTTTGACGGATCGGTATATCCGCTGCTCACCCCTACTATTAATAACCTTGCACTTTTAATTTGCCATTATAATATTAGGGTCCTCAAATATTTTAAAATGATAATGTAGTCAGACTAATAGAGTATGTTGAGCATTACATCTTGAAATTTTCGGTGTGGATACTAGTTGTGTCATTGTCTGTATATCAATTTCTCTTGTACTTTACATCTGACTGCAAAAGTAATAAATGAAAGTAAAATGAGCTGACGCTGGAAATATGAACAATAATGGAGAAGAATGAGGCCTCATTTGGGAACATGCTATTCTGGTATCTTTTTGGTTTTTTGGCTAAAATATGAGGTAAAAAAATTAGTATGTTTGGAATGATTTTTTGGTTTTTTACGAAAAGATATACAAAAAGTAGAGAGAAAAAGAAATCTTTGACTTTTTGTTATAGGTTTTTGGCTTTTTAGTTTTTTTATTAACTTTTTGACTTTTAAGCTAAAATATTAAGTTGCCAAACGAGGCCTAAGTGTATAGGAATTGATATGCATCTTACAAATCTTTTTTTTGGAACAACATATGCATCTCATGATGAGTTGCCAAGAGTTGAATACTTACTAACATTGTAATACTATAAAAGTCAACCGTCAGCATAGGATGTTTTCACTTAGATATTTTGAGAACCTGAAAAATTTTGTAAATGTGTGCATGTTTGCATGTGCATAGAGAAGGCATGATACAGCTGTAAATTGTAAATTACTGTGGAAGTATAAAAATTTTGCAAAGTTGAAAGCAAGAACATTATCATTTCTCGAAGTATTTTTAATGGCAGATGTAACCTTGTTTGTGCACTTGCATACATGTGTAGGAGAACATAATACTCACGTAAAAGTATGTTGAAATTATTTGAAATATTGTGAAGATGGAAAAAGTATTCTCATTTCTTAATCCAACTAAATCACAAACTAAAAATATACAGGAACCATTTCTTGAAAATAAATGAATGAATAAGTAAATGCTTGTGTAGGCAGGGACTACTTTTACAAACTGGCCAATGCTGAAGAACAATCAACAATTGTATGATAGTATTTTGAAGTAAATGAGATTGAAAGATAGGTGCTATATTTAAACTTCTCTAATTACTTTGGCATCTGAAAATTCTGGCCAGGGCTATATTCACACACACAAGCCTATGAACATGCATATTAATAAGCACATTACATGTATAAACACAGAAGTGTTTATTTGCATACATCGAGTATAATTATGCGTACTATTGGCTGGTGTGTTAACTATATGATGAATTGGTTCCAGGTGATTTTGGATGAAGCAATCACAAAGCTTAATCCGGATTTCTTTTGGCTGGGAGGCGGAGAGGTTTTTCTGAAGTTGGGAATCAGGACCTCTGAATTCATAAACTTTGTAAGACCTTTCATTGTTAGCTGTAGTTCTACCACTTGATTGCTCCAAATGATTCGTTAGTGAATTGCCGATGGATTCTATGATTGCGGTGGAACTTGCCAACCTGATAATGCCAACAATTGCCATAATCATGGACTTTCTTTCTTCTTTGGGATCCAGATTGAATTGTTAATGACCTATGGAATTCGAGTTTGCTTCACAAAATTTTCTTGTTTCTTGATAGGTTAAAACAAAATGGAACTTTTATAATTCAATATCCTTTTTGTTTTGGTGCTTCGCAATGACTTGAATGGAAAAAGGTGATTGATATTATACTTTGAAAGGATTAAAGCATGAGAATAGGCATTACATTGTTTTGATTTTAGAGCAAATTACTCTAACTGTCTTTATAATTTGAGACTTGTATTTTTTTAATCTCTGACTTTTTAATTGTGATATATTTGATCTTGAATTTTGAATCTCGTTCCAAATAAAGACAATTGAAGACATTGTTACTCTATTTGAAGGGTAAAGTTGTTAGGTTAATTTATATGTTGTTTGAAATATAATGATTTTTTTTTAATAAATAATGTTGAAACTCTTTTTGTTATAAAGTTTTGTTTTTTTTGGTTTTTAGAATCTATTTTTAAAAAAAAAATTCTAAGAAATTAAAATTTTAATTGGTGAAAAAAAAATTAAAAATGTATCATTTTTATATAATTTTTTTTTGGGAGGGTAGAAACTATATAGTATCCAAAAATATAGTACATGATAATTATCTAAAAATAACAACAAAAATAATTACCTATTAAATGATTATTATCTAAATACATATTAAAATTTAATTTGGTAAAGAAATAAAAAATAAAAAATAAAAAAAATTTATTATTTTTATATAACTTTATCTTTGGTGAATAGAAATAATTTTTAAAAATTTAAAAATAATTTTTTGACATTTATTTTTGTCAAACTAGTTTATATTTTATTAAATTGGTAACTTTGCTTTTGAAATGGAGCAATAGTATTTTTAATTATCCCTATCTAGAACGAGATTTAAAATTCAGAGTCAAGTATACCATAATTGAAAGATCAGGAGCAAAGTGATTTAAGTTTCAAACTGTGGAGACTATTAATATAATTTATCATCGATTTTATAAATGTCTATCATGTAATACCTAACAGCTTATTAGCTGATGTGTATCATCTTAAAAAATAGATTATTGTGTAGATCAACAAACAAATATCACTCCTAAGACGTCAAAATCTTTGGAGAGAGACAAGGTAAAAAAAATTAATCACTAAGAAGAGTAGGTAATATTAGCAATTTTGTGTGTGAATTCCTAGTCGTAAACCCTATTTGACATAGTGAATTCTCGCTCGAAGCTCCTAGAAGAAACCTCTTTCAAATTTTGGTGAAATCCACCTCTAGAATTAATTTGTAATGGGACCCACAATTGTTGTGGGCCAATGAGCCTCATGTGAAACTCTGTAAATGTCTATTTAACTATATGGTAAAAAAATTACTGTAGGACCGTGACTTAAAAGTGAAACCTTGATGGTGGTTTGAATTTTACCCATAAAATTTGCAGTCACCTATCTTGATATTAATGCACATTGAATGCAATGAACTTCTTGATATATACATATATATTAAAATTTACAGTTGATAGTTGCATTTTACTTGCTAGCCCTGCATATTCAGAAAATAATTCAGAAAAGTGTCAAGAATATGAAATGTTGATTAAATTCATTCAGAAAAGTGTCTATTACTTGCTATTGTAGAAATGAAAAAGGCTTCATTACTGTAGAGAGAGAGAGAGAGAGAGAGAGAGAGAGAGAGGCCTTTGAAGCAGTGGACATGTGAAGACCACAACAGTTGGGAACAACACAACTGAAAGTGCAAAAGACCAACATGTTCTATGAGTATCTACCTTCATTTAAGAGGAGACAAATACATTTACAAGCTTGGGACGCACATCACGTTTTATGTTTCTTTATTCACAATCAAATTCATTGAACAACAACATTTTCCTACAAACAAACAAATATTTAAGGGACCTTAATCCATCAATCACCATATTCTACTACCTACATTTCTTCATTTGTTTGTAATAGGATATAGTAAATAAACTAATAGTGCAATAGTTGATATTTTGCTTACCATTTATAAATTTTTTACTGATTTTAAATAGTAGTATTGAGATATATATATTGGTATTAGTGATATAATCATATATCAGTCGATATTAGACAGTATTAATATTAACTATAAGTCCAACAACAAAAAATAAAAAGTGCATATGGATGATGATTGGCCATCGAGGGTTCTCTGTATTGGTTTCTAGGGTTCTCAGTTATGAATAGGTGGTTTTCTATGAGGCTGTGCATAGTCCATAACTACTATGTCTTCCACAGGGTCATCTTCCTTAGAATGATCTACAGTTTCCTCTGCATTTTGTGACGTAGAACTCAGCATCCACCGTGCTTGTCTCTTCCGTTCCTGCACAAGAATCTTACAGTTAGAGTGGGGGTAAAACGACTGGAAAAACCAACAAACCAAATACCAATTTAATCTTTATGGGCTAAGTTGGTTCGGTTCGATTTTGGGTGTAAAATGATCAACCCAAGAATGGAACATTATATATATATTTTACACGATTTTATTTTTTTATATTGTGTGTATATATATATATATATATATTCTACTTTATAATTTATTTATTTTTTTTCCATTTAATTGTTATCCTTATAAAGAATGGAACCAAGGTTTTAACTATAGTTTATTCGAGTTGGGTTGGTTCGGTCTCAAAGGATGGTTGATTTAACTTAAAGTCCAAAAATTGAAACTGATCAAGTCCAATTTGATTTTGGGTTCAACTCTAATTTGAACCAACTCAACCTATATCCACACTCCTATCAATAAAGTTTACAATATACATTTTTTATTTTTTAAATTTATAATCAGAAAGTGAAGAATAAGACAACGAGAAATTGCATCGCCCAAAAATTTTTTTTTTAAAATTTACAATCCTTATTTGCTTTGCTCTACTTCTATTTTGCATGCCAACAGGCACCATCTGCAGCCATATCCTCAACAAGGACCTGTTGAAGGAGATGGGCAACGATTCTCGGCCGTCACCACCCCCTACACATTGACTTCCTAACAACTACCTCATTCATTAGAAATGACCCCAAAAAAACAAAAAAACAAATAATTGAAATGAAAAATAATTTAGAAACATAATTTTTATGTTTAAATTTATTTGTAATGATATGATGGCGATATTTTTATAATATAAATATTTTGATTTAAAATAAAAGAATCACGAAATATTCATTCTGTATAGATTTTCTCTACAAATTTTTTTTGCATGGTGTTACTCTTGTTGAATTCTTACCACTATTTTAGTTGGCTCTTGCAGAACCGCTTGAGAAGATGAAGATGCAATCTCATTCCCTGCAAGTCCCACCACTATCAATAACATTATCCATAAAAACAACAAAAACATGGAATCACATGAATAAGTTAAAAAGATACTACAAGATATTCAAGTACGTAGGCAGCAATGAAAAAATCCCATGCAAATAATTTGAACTTAGTAGAAGAAACAAAGGGAGGAGACGTTATTTCGTAGTCTTAGAACGGTGTTTCATATTATTTATTTTATGACATTTGTTCAGTTCTTTATCATAAAATAATATAAAAGTAATGAATATCACTGTTTGAATCAATAAAAGTCAAATTAAAATACCACATATAATTATTCTAAATAATTTTCCATATGAAGAATAGTCAAAGGAATAACAACAAGAAGTACACCTTCATGTTAGATGATAATGTTCAAGGTTACTATTATGCAAGACTAATATATGGTTAAATTTAAACTTATTATTTTAAAATAAATTTTGTTACAAGTGTTTTTAGAAAAACATGTTAAAAATTTAAAACAATTGTAATTATACATAAAAGTGCGTGTAATAAAATATATATATATATATATATATATAATTTTTAAAACTATTTTAACATATGTCATAAGAATACATATTAATAAAATATTTTTTTAAATAAAAAAAACCTATTAAGATGATTTTTAATGACAAAATTATCATCACCGCATCATTAAAAGTTACGTAAGTAAAAGAAACAAGATAATTATAATATACTGTTTAGAGTTTTTAAGAGAAACAAATATTGGATGCAACATTAAAACCATCTTACATTCGTTAGGTAATAAAAAATGAAAATTAAGTTTGGTGGGACTCTTTATCTTCCACAAAATCAATCATATTGTCCTCGCTACAGTAATATAAAACTTTTCATTAATTGATAAGCTTTTTTAAGGACCCAAGTGCAGTTCGAAGGTGGCTATGTATTTGCATGTAGCAATGTTAGGAACACATTATTTATGCATGAAAAAATTAACGTATGATCTATATTCATTTTAAATATAGATTATTATACAAGAGTTAAATTTGAGTAATATATTTTTTTTGTATATAATTTCATGTGCATGAATTTTGTGTGCATAACATTATTGCATGGCATATGGTCTAAAAGTTGAACCAAATATATATGATGGATTCAATTTGAACAAACCTTTGGTTATGTCTTCCTTTGCACCATCCCACTTCTCATGGATTCCTGTTTCATCTTTTTTGCCAACTATTTTTTCTCGTGTTCCCATTGCCTTAGATATATAAGGGCCGACACTTGATGGGATCAAGTTTTCTTGATGTTTTTCTTCCTCCACATCCTGCACCAAACCCTGAATATCTTCAAATTATGGATTTAAATAACAATATCGGCGACATGTATGATGCACATATTAAGACTTGATACACCTAATCGAGATCAGCAATGTTAAGTATCATGAAAAGTCTTTCATGAAAATAGTCATGAAAGATTTGTGACCTTTGGATTACACTTACAATAAAACACCACACACTAATCAAGGTAATCTAAGGGTCACAAATTTTTCATGGTTATTTTCATGAAAAAAATTTCATGATCCCTAACATTACTCAATCGAGATTAGTGAGACTTGAAAAACAAACAAGAATAAAAACAAGAATCTCATCAAGTACATAAGAATACAAAAATTAATGTGATTCATTCAAATTAGGGCTATGTTCATTGTTGCTATAATTTTCACTATAATAAGAAAGGTTACAAGCCCTCAATTATAAATATTTAGAAATTAAGACAACAAGTCACAACTGCAGGAATACTAAAAATATCTTTACTCCAAATTTGAGTGTTTAGTGTTCAGTACTTATCAGGATCCACACTACCATAACAGTTATTAGCGATACAGTCGTATATTGACTGATATCAAACACTATCAACTGATATATCTATAAATATCAATATCGAAAGTCCAAAAACTCATTTAAACTCAGGTTTAAATCCTGAACACTTTTTGCACATCATAGATCTTTCGAAAAGAGAAAAGAAAAGAAGCTTGATCACAAGAGAGCTTCTACATATCTCTAACCTTGCTAGAAATATGAAACCCATGGGAAGTTTGTTTATGAGTAAAACCTAGATGGCGGGCATCGCATGCATGAAAAGAAAGGCAAATGAAAACATAGACAAGAAGAGAAGACATAATGAGATGATTTTAGCTAGAAGGGTGTTATGATGATCAGTTTGAGTTTAGGGAATGAATTTAGGGTTTTGTTTTTGTATGTGAAGTTGAGTGTGTTAGGCTTTGCAAGTATTTGTAATGTGGAAGAGAAGAGGGATGCATTAAATGCAGGTTTCGTAGGAGGTGAAAGAAGTTGTTTAAGAGAACATGCAGGTGTTTGGTGATGAACCTTGAAAACCTAACTCAAGATATGGGGGGTCCTCCCTTGTCCCCTCCCTCTTCTAACTTTTTTTCTAACTAGTGGGCCCCCAAAAAAGAGAAAAAAAAGGCATTTTGTTTATGCTTGAAAATGGATAGTGACAAATTGAATTTTTGTTGTAGGTGATTGTGTGAATTACTAGACATAGAATCCAAAATAGGTTATAGGTGGAGTCGTCTCTTAGACTTTATAAACTAGTAAGGTTTGGTTTTACATCTCTTAAAAAGATTAAAAAAAAATTAAAAAGTCAAAAATTTATTATTATATTTAAATCATATCATTTTATTTAAGTTACATTACCTCTCTATCACATCACTTTAAAACCCAACCCATATTTCATAAAAAGTCAAAAAGTGCACTTATTTAGAACATTTCAAACAACCCCTAAATTTAAGTAGTTTAGATAAATAATATGGGATAAGTGTCTAAAATATATTGAGGCAATAAGCTTAGTCATAATATATTTTAGAAAAATATTTGAGACATTTAATTTATAACTCTTAAAAATCGCTCCTAATGTAATGTCTCACAAGTGTCAGACATTCCATCATGTGAGGTCTAACTTCAATGTCACATTATTAGAGGTTATTTAAAAGTGATAAATTAGAGATATATAACATTGTTGTATATTTTTGAACAAAATATGTTGAAGTTGGCCACACGTTAAAAACATTTAATGTATTAAAACACTTTTATGCTAGTTGTTTTTTCATGACTAAAACATTATTAATTAAAAAAATTTGTGAACATAATTTGATCACAAAACTACAAAACTACACTGCTGGAAATTAGGCTTTTAGCGGCGTTTAAAAAACGCCACTATAAGTATCAAAAATGTCGCTAATTCTTTTTGTGACGTTTAGTACCAAACGCCGACGACGCGGCCGTCGCTATAACTTTATGACGTTTGGAAAACGTCGCTATATTAGTATAGGCGACGTTTTTAAAAACGCCGCCAAATGTCCTACCCTAACAATACTGTGACGTCACTATGATTTTAGCGACGTTTTTAAAACGCCTTCATAGGTTTTTTAAATTTTAAAAATTCCAACCGTTATAGTGGCATTTTAAAAACGCCGTCTTATCTTTTTTTTTTTCTTTTTTTTTTTGGTTTTGAAATTGTGCTAAGTTTATGTGATTGAACTAAAAGAACACCAATAATAAAACTAAATAACACTAATATGAAATAATAACTCACATTCAAATAACAAATATAGCATTAATTCACTTTCCCATTCAATTTAATATAACATTAATTTTCCCACAAAATAACAAATATAGCATTAATTTTCCCACAAAATAACATATTCAAAAATTGAATTCACAATTCTCAATCAAAAAATTACTACCTTATATACAAAGCCACAAAATAACATTACCCTCCTCTCTCTCTCACCACTCCCCCATTTAATACAAAAAATAAGAAGTGAACCAAAACACCCACTGTCAGATCCAAGGAAAAAAAGAAAAAATAAGAAAAAATAAAAAACCAAAGGATTTTAACACAAAAAATCTGAAAAATTGCTGGCCTTGGCAACTAATTCAGAAGTTGTGGTTGATCCGATGAAATTTGGTACAACTTCTTCACTTGCTCAACAAGGTCGCTCGTGGTTCAGCGAGCTCAGAAGCAACAATTACCTAGAATAGTAGCTCTAGGTAAGAACACCCATGTTTGGCTCAAGAAAGTAAATTGACGACATTGAATAATTGATAGATGAATGAAGGTGAAGCCAACATGTTACTAATAGAACTAGCAAAAATTATGCACAGACAAAATGCTCATAACTTTATGACACACTACCATTCTGGATGTAGTATACGTGTGTCGATAATATACTTTTTTTGAGGATGATCTTACGAGGGAAACCAGCATAAAATCAGGCACATTTTCTTAATTACAGTAAAAATGGCATGCTTACAGTCAAAGCTCATTTCTTAATATATAGGCATCCTTTTGTGGCACGACTACTATAATAAAAATAGAAAAAAAAAAAAAAACACAAACCAAACCAAAATAGAAAATAGAAATTCTCAACTTAACAATTGTTGTGATTACTCAAAATAGAAAATTTCTCATACCTATGCATAAATAAAAAGTAATGCACTTACCTTTATCCATGGAGTGGAATGAAGCTTTCTGTAGGACTCAGAACTCTTTCCAAAGGGAAGAGGAACTCTATGACACCCCACCTAATACTAATAAATAAATAGGATTAGATAGTTCAACAATAGGGTTATTTTAAACACAACACTGGAGACTTTTCACAGATCAATTTACTGTGTAATAAATGCATCCAACTCTGCGCTAATATCCAATCGGTATGGCTCTCCATTCACCAAAGGTAAAGGGAATTCATTCAAGGAACTGGAATCCAGATCTATCGACAGAATAGCAACACAATGTCATGTGAAAATGTCAATGTTTATGAAAATGGAAGATAATTGTCAAACAAACAGTCAACAAAAACATGCACACCCGCAAATACAACATTGAAGATCAATAAATACAGACTTTTCCAATTATGTTGCTCTTAGGAATTAAAATATTACAAACTATATTTTTCCCAAGCATGTTAGGAATATCTGTTTCATATCAGTACTAATAAGTTGGTGAAAACAAACCTGTTGTATGAGATTGCTGCTTGGGAAGACCCTTTAACAAACTGGACCACGTCCTTCCTGCAATTGCCTTTGCCAAAAATTTATAATCTTGAATCGCAGGTGCATACTCCTTCAATTTACATCCTTATTCCCAAGTATTTTAAATAGTTTAATAAAGATCAGCACCTTAATGATGATGTCTACAAAGTTATAGCCCAGAAATGTCAGGATAATAACCAGACAATTGCATAGCAGTACAACGCTTTCCAGAGAACATTTCTGGAGGGAAAAAGCGAAACGTCTCAAAAGCAGGTGAATCCTATTCCTCAGACAGCTCATCACTCGAGTTTCATATTGAAAGAACCCAGTGGTTTCTGCATGCAACCCTTTTGCTGCAGTCTTCAAAAATACTTCGTCGCAAGCAACCCATGTTTCAATAATGGGCCATTCACAAGTGATTAACTTGTAACCCAAAAAAATAAAATAAAAAAATTGAAACTTATTTTGAAAGGCTGGATGTAGAATTCTGATAATTATGGATGATAATGTGTGTGTGGTGCGTGAGAGAGACAAGAGACAGACAGAGATCCTGCTGCTCCCAGACAGACAGAGATCACTCTGCTGCCAACAATTAACAAGGCTCTACAACAAATGCAACTATCCTCATTGTTTCAAGTCGACCTTAGCTCTTCAAAAGGTTGCAAAAATGCAGAATCCTTATTTCCAGGACAAGATAAAAAAGAAAAAAGCAAAATTTAAGAACCCAAAACCAAAAAAAAAAAAACCAAAAACAAAAACCAAAACGCAAAAATCCTCACAATTGTTGTTCACTTCGGAATTGCTAATACAAAAAAGAGAGGCAACACATAGGCTAAGTTATTCGATTTTAAAACTAATCCCTCTCGTGAACTAATACATTCACAATTTCCACAAAAATTTGAAAAATTAACCGCAATACGAGAGGAATATAGGAAGCTCAACAAGCAACTGACATATTTAGGGCAACTCTGTGCAACAACGCTTGCAGCTTTTCTAAGGCAGTAAATAAGTTTGTGGTCGTTTTTCTTTGGTGTACATTCACATATTCTGAGACAACAAAGATACGCTTCTCTTTTCCATAGCCTGCTTTTCATTCGTCCCTTGTAAACATTTCCTTTTTCAAACGCCTCACAGGCAGAAAACAGAGGATAATAATTTTGACAAATAGAAGAGATACAATACAGTCATATAGTTTATAATTTGCTTTAACTATTCTAATTTCCAATAAAGAATGTGAGAATCAGCCACGACAATTTAAAATAAAATAATTCTCTATTTGTTTCGCTGGAAATCTAGAATTTTCTAGCATTGGTACGACAGAAACAGAATTTCACTAATAGTCTGAGTTGAAAATTTTAAATTTTAGTTGACAAACAAAGCAACATACAGAAATAAAAGAATTCACTCATTTTCTTTACATAGATTGTTTTAGGCGCAAACTATTTCAGATCAGGCCCTGAAATTCTTTTCATGATTAAGGATGCAAATCCCCTGTATGAGTATTTTTTCACATAGTTTTTGCTTGACAGCAGTCATGAATTCATGGAAGAAGGTCATAATATTCTGGAATACATTTTGACAAAACTGCCTCAGTATTAAAGGATTACAATAATGTATCTTAATGCTTGTAACATAAACACAATAAAATGCTAAAACTAATTAGCACCTTCCCAGTTGCCCCTCCCTTGGTCTGTACCATGTAGAATTCATCTTTCACAACTGCTCATTGTTTGTCCGCCACATCAATGGTTACGGGAAACACTGCATCAGGCAAGTAAAACAGACTCGTTACTAAAATGGTAAAAATGAGAGGAATCGCGCTCCCAAATCAATATTATATGGTCAAGCTGACAACTAAAGCATGGCATTTACTTCTTGACACAGTACTGAACATTAAACACACCATATTAACACAGTTTCCTCGGTACTCGAAATAAGGCTTTCAATAAGATATACTAAAATTGAGCATACTACAACTGTATATCTTACGCTGGTGACACCTACCGAAGAAGTCTAACTCCGCCAAGTGCTGTATACAGGCAGTTTTCCAACAGGTATCCCCATCCTGATAAAATTAAGCTTGTTATTAGCTACAATGCATTTTTAACAGGCGTTTTGCCACAACAGGGCCATCTGAATTCAATGGCCTGCCTATTAATAGACAGAGAACAACATTCCAATTAATACCATAGGAAGAAGATTAAATATGTATTAGATTAGTA